GGTAAAGAAAAAAGTAAAGTACATGATAATATATATAATATGATACTTTTAAGAAAGAAAAAGAGAAAGATTATAAACTAATCAAGATGGTTGCCTATAGGAAAAGGGTGAAGTGGATTTTGGGAGTGTTCTGAGTACTTTAAGTGTAATCACACAGATCTCATGAAAAGTTATGAGTAGGGAAATCAAGACTTCTTACTATATACCTCGTTATAGTTTTTGATCTTTGACCCATGTAAATATTTTATTATTTACAAATTAAGAAGAAAAAGTAATGATAGTGAAACTCATTGCAGACTTAACTCCTGCCTGTCACTGGGGTGAACACATGGCACGTATTATCTCAGGGATTCCTCTCAGCAGGTCACAATATTTCTCCCATTTTTCAGGTGAAGGACAGATTAGAGAAGTTAAGGAATTTGCCTAAAGCCACATAACTAGTTAACTGTGGGCCCTGGAATCAAACTCAGATCACTCAGCTCCAGGATCTATGTTGTGATCTATTACTCTACTAGCACAGTGGTTTCTAATATTTTTATTCTACCCTGAGAAATATAAAAGATTATGGCCCCCTCATGACCTATGCTCACAGGCACACTCAAGTTTGTGAGCAAATGATCATTGAGAACCTCCCGCAGTTCACCAGCAGCAATAGCTCGCAGTAGCTGTGGCTTTAGGATGAAATGTCTGTAGCCAGGCGGATGCTAGCTGTAACTCCACCCCTCCCTCTCCTGAACCAGAAAGTATATAGCAGTGAAAGGAATAGCAATGCTATTATTTTAAATAATATTTCACATTTAAAATGTTTGTACCACGTGGCAGGCACAGATGTTGTAAGTACATCACATGTGAATGTAATACTGAACCTTCACAAAAAAATTTTATCAGGTAGGCACTAGCATGGTCACTGTTAAGAGCTGACTTGTTGAAATGAGATCTTAGAAAGTGACCTTATAGGGTAAGAGGGTCTTTACAGAGAAAAATCAAGATAAAATAAAGGCATTAGGGCAGGCCCTAATCCGACATGACTGGTGTCCTTATAAAAAGAGGACATTTAGAACAAAGGCCAAGGCGGAGGCATAGGTAGATACACTTTGCCTCCTGACACAACCAAAGGGACAATAACAAATTTAAAAACGAAAAACAACCAGAACTGCCAGAAAACCGAACCATACGGAAGTCTGCCAACCAAGGAGTTAGTGAAGAAACATTCATTGAGACTGGTAGGAGGGGAGGAGATGGGCAGCCGGGGTGGGGAGGACGCGCAGCAAGGCAGTAGATCAGGCAGGTGAGGTGGCAGCTGGTAGTCCCACATTTGTGTGCATAAAAGCAGGGAGGAACAACAAGGGAGCAAGACAGACCACACAACCCAGGGTTCCAGTGCGGGAAAAGAAAGCTTCAAAACCTCTGGCTGTAAACACTTGTGGGGGTTGCCGTGGTGGGAGAAACTCCCAGCCTCACAGGGGAGTCTGTTGGGGAGACCCACAGGGTCTTAGAATGTACACAAACCCGCCCACCCAGGAATCAGCACCAGAAGGGTCCATTTTCCTTGTGGGTAGTGGGGGAAGTGACTGAAAGCTGGCTGAGAACCTAGCATGCAGCATTGTTCCCTCTCAGAACCCTCTGCCACATAGAGCATCACAACTTAGTGATGTGTGTTGCCCCACCCTGGCAAATACCTAATTCTCTGCCTCTTATGACATAATGGGTGCGCCGAGACAAAGAAATATGGCCCAAATGAAAAAAACAAATCAAAACCAGGAAAAGAACTAAGCCATGAAGAGATAGCCAGTCTAGCACATTCAGAGTTCAAAATACTGGTAATCAGGATGCTCACAGATATGGTAGAGTATGGTCACAAAATAGAGGAAAAAATGAAGGCTGCGTAAAGTGAAATAAAGAAAAATATACAGGGAACCAAGAGTGAAGGGGAGGAAACCAGGACTCAAATCAATGATTTGGAGCAGAAAGAATAAACATTCAACCAGAACAAAACAAAGAAAGAAGAATTTAAAAAATTGAGGATAGGCTTAGGAACCTCTGGGACAACATTAAACATTCCAACATCTGAATCATAGGGGTGCCAGAAGAAGAAGAAGAGCGAGAAATTGAAAACTTCTTTGAAAAAATGATGAAGGAGAATTTCCCCAATCTGGCAAAGGAAGTAAACTTCCAGGAAGTCCAGGAAGCTCAGAGAGTCCCAAAGAAGTTGGACCCAACGAAGCACACACCAAGGCACATCGTAATTGCATTACCCAAGATTAAAGATAAGGAGAGAATGTTAAAAGTAGCAAGAGAAAAGGAGACAGTTACCTACAAAGGCGTTACCATAAGGCTATCAGCTGATTTCTCATAAGAAACCTTACAGGCAAGAAGGGGCTGTCAAGAAGTATTCAAAGTCAGGAAAGGCAAGGACCTACATCCAAGGTTACTCTATCCAGCAAAGCTATTATTTAGAATGGAAGGGCAGACAAAGTGCTTCCCAGATAAGGTCAAGTTAAAGGAGTTCATCATCACCAAGACTTTATTATATGAAATGTTAAAGGGACTTATCTAAGAAGAAGAAGACCAAAACTATGAACAATAAAATGACAACAACTCACAACTATCAACAATGGAACCTAAAACAAAAAAAACAAACTAAGCAAACAACTAGAACAGGAACAGAGTCACAGAAATGGAGATCACATGGAGGGTTATCAGCAGGGAGGGAATGGAGAGAGAGTGGGGGAAAAGGCACAGGGAATAAGAAACATAAATTGTAGGTGCAAAGTAGGCAGGAGGAGGTTAAGAACGGTAGCGGAAATGGAGAAGTCAAAGGACTTGTATGTATGACCCATGGACATGAACTAAGGGGTAGAGCGAATGCTGGCGGGGTAGGCTGCAGGGCAGAGAGGAATAAAAAGGAGAAAAGAATGGGACAGCTGTAATAGCACAATCAATAAAATATACTTAAAAAAAAAAGAGGACATTTAACACCTGACAGACATGCACAGAGGGAAGGTGACGTGAAGGTGGCCATGTGATGGCAGAGGCAGAGATTGGAATCTTTAGCTGCAGCCAAGACATCCAAGGATTGCTGGCCACCCCTGGAAATGAAGAAGGCTCCTTCCCAGAGTCTTGGGGGGAGCACGGCTCTGCCCATGCCTTGATATTAGACCTCTTGCCTCCAGAAGGGTGAGGCAAAACATTCCTGTTGTGTGAAGCCTCCCAGTTTGTGATGCTAAGAAATGAATACAATCACCATCTTACAAAGAAGGGAATACGGGGATAGGGTGTAAATAGTTTGCCTAAACCTGCATAGTCAATTTGTAAGTCGTGGCCTCAGACTGAGCTTGGGAAGCCTAGTGCTCCATTCTTACCAAATTCACATTTTTAAGAAATTTTAGTTTTAGCTTTAGTTCTTTGTCTGAACTGTGTGTCTCACTTTAGGACTGATCGGAACGCTGTGTTTCGACCTCAAGCCTGTAGCAAAGGGCAGAGCAGGGAGTGTTCAGAGCAGGGCAACCCTAACAAACTCACGCGGGCATGGCAGGGCGGCGCACAGAGCCAAGCCCCCCTGTGCGGCGCAGCTGCTCGGGGCTGGGGGCCAGCCAAGGGGGCTCCCTGGTCCTCCCTGGAACAGCTGAGCGTGGCCAGGGCCCAGGGGGCACAAACTTCAAAGCAGCTGAAGGCTTCCCTGCAGCCTCTCATTTTTAATCAGCAGGAGTCACAATCCAGGAATGTGGCTTGTTTAAATTATTTTTTTAACTTAAGAAAATGTCAGGATAAGTATAAGAGCTAAAGCAACTTTCAGGAACGGGCTTCCCAACTCCACTTTTTACTCGATGCCCAGTAAGTGAACATACTACCTAAGTGAAATAATGTTTCTTAGATGATGTGGGAAGAGGCAGAGATGGGATGAGGGAAAGCCCCGGGGAGGGTTTGACTCAAGCCCTTTCTGGTCTGCATAGCACCTCTCATATTTATCTTATCTCCGCGGTCTGTGCACCCGCTCCTGGACGACAAAGCCCTGTGGGCAAACCACGTGCCGAGGGGGTCCCAGGCAGAGAGGTGGCCTCCAGTGCAGCTGAGAGACAGGCAAAGACACGCTTGAGATGGACACCGGAGTCTAACAGAATTTCGTTAAACCAAGAGTCAGATGACTGAAGAAGAATTGAATGCAGGTCACAGTTACGTCTGGGCAGAGGGAAAATATCTCTGTGTTTGGGGAGATATTTTCCCCTAGCTGTCCTGTCAAAGCCCAGAACATTTCGATCCCATCGTCTGATCAGATCATGCTGCAGAGGGTCACACAGCCCTGTCCTCCAGCAATTCTGGGCACAGGGTAGATGTTTGGCACTGCCCGGTTGAATTATTTCCTGGGTCGTCCTGTCACGGGCTTTGTGTTTCCAGTTAGGGTCAGAGCAAAAGGAGAGAAAGTTTCTTTGCTGGATGCATGAGCACCACGTCTGCGCTATGGAGATTCTCCTTGAATGGGAGAAACTCCACCCTGATACGAAGGACAAAGTGTGTGCCGTGGGACACAGCATGGGATGTCAAGGAAGAGACGCAACGATGGTTAACCTTTGCCTAATGTGGGGGCAAATGGGTGATGGATTCCATGGTCCAGTGTTAGACATTGAGTCAGAGGGCGGGAAAGATTCGTTTCCTTAGCTTTACCCTTCTTGGACATGAGACACTGACAAGCCCAGGTTTATCATACTCTATTAAAAACCAGCTTTGTTTCAGAATCCAAGTACTGAAAGACGATCTCAGCCTTAGCGTCTGAATACCTTGTTTCAAAGAAATCCCTGGGAATAGCAGCAGGTTTCCTCAGAAAACTCTCAAAGACACACCCCATGCCTGTTCTTAACCTTTTTCAAAGCTTAGATTCTGGGGCTACATATCTCAATGTGGTTTAATTTTTTTTTTTTAAACCTGATCTGCTGTTAAGAAGTGGACCTTGAAGTATCAAAGCCCACAGTGACATTGCAGAGACAAACAGAACAGTGACTCACCTGGAAATTGGCCCTGCGATCAGGACACTGATTTCTAATGTGCATATTAATATGGCCAAGGCGAGCCCGGGGCCGGCCGACATCGGTTCTGTTTAGGTAGCTCCGAGTGGGATGGCCAGGCAGGTGTGTGGAGGCATTTATTAGCAAAGGGCAAGTACCAGAGCGATTGTTTGTTTTAGATCAGGTTTTTTTTTTTTGTTGTTGAATTGCTTTCCTGGGTGCAAAGTCCAATCAAAGAAAAGAGGGATTTCCTAATTCTTGGCCTACTCTTTTCTCATATCGACAAGTATATTCAAGCAATGAGCCCGTGAACACTAAATTGGCTAAGATTAGCAGCAATGTTGTGTTAAAAACAGCAACAAAACGAACTAGCGTTGCTCATCTTTGAGAGGGAGGAAGGAGGAGTGTGTAATTTGGGATGAAGAGACCTGTGGATGACTTCTACAGACGTAGAAACTCAAATGAGTGGGAGGACTGCACTGCCGGAGAGGGGGTCAGACACGCGTTCCAACGGGAAAGCGAGCGGCGTGGCTTGTTTGCACACATGGGAAAGGCAAAGTAGCAAATGCACTTACAGCCTGATTTTCTTCACAGGCAGAGTGCATCACTGTGAAAAAGTCAGGTAAACCCCTTAAGGCATTTACGTTATCCTCTCGGAGGATCTGGTCTAGAAACACATGATCGATTCCGTCAGCATGGTAGGTTCCAAGACGGAACAAACTGCTCCAACCCATCACGAAGGATGCCCCCAGCTCTGACTTCCTTTCACATGTTCTCCAGGACTTGTGGGAAGGGGAACATGCTTTGTAAAGTGCCTGAAAATGTGGATGTTACAGCAGCTTCTTTTAAAACACTGGCTGCATAACAGAAGGACTTGGGGACCTGAGAAAAACCATCAATGCCCACCTACCCCCACCTGATTCTAACAATGAATCCGGGCTGAGGCCTTGCATCAGTGTTTTGGAAAGCTTGCTCAGGCATTCGAATGTGTGGCCGCGGCTGAAATTTAGACGACTGCTTTGAGAAGAAAGGCATGAGATGTGATAGACCATTGAGCGCTTTCTTCATGTGCTGTCATAGGACTTGAAGGGCATTCCATAGACGATTTTCAAGCATTAGCATATAAAAAGACCAATAAAGCCAGGGTAGGTGAGGGAGGTAACAGAGTTAGAGGTCGTTTTTTCCAGTGCTGCCTTACCTTCTCCAGTAACGGTCCGACCTATGGTAAAGTCTCATCATCCTTTCTTGCCCTTCCCCCTTTTTCTGCAGAGAGCCTGAGGTGCCTAATGGCATTCATGTCATGGGCTCCTGAGCTTGCTGTTTATAAATAATTTATATGGTCTGCACATAGGCTATGCAGAACTGCCAAGTAAAAGATGATTCAAATGGGCACAGTCACTACATCAGTGAATAAATCTATGCCCAAAGGACGTTTCTTGGGAGTATTAGCTAAAGGCAAGGGGGCCGGACCCAGATATATTACGCATCTGTCAAATATAATGGGACGATGCTGAAGACTCTTATGTGGCCTCTCTGGACACAGCCAGGACACTTGAGGAAAGGAGAGGGAAGCAGGCAGGGTAGGATGATGTTTTACGCTAATTAGACTTAATGCTAATTGTTTAGCTTTCATGATAATTGACTTGATAATTAGGTGTCACTGGAGACTGAAAAATTCCCTCCTTGCTGGAGGGGAGACAGGGGAGGTGGAGGTGAGGGCGGATTCCTTAGCTACCTAACTTGAAAGGGGAACTGTTCTGTTGAAGGGGTATTTATTTTATCTCCACGGTTTAGGATGAGTGTAATGTAGCAAAGTCAGGGGATCAATAAAGTATAATATTATACTATTATAATTATCATGTAATGATTATACATAGCATAATATGTCTTATTCTTCTCTGCCCTTGATATCTATCACATATCTGACATGTTCTGAAATCAAGTTTATGTTTCAGTGTATATCTAGGGGAACTGAGGCATCCTGATGCACTAGACTAGAAAAGTGAAAATTACAGCATTACTTAAAATTACAGCATCCTTTTAAAACACTGAAAGGCTTCCAAAGAATAGAATGAGTGAACGTTTTTGTCCAGCATCCCCCAGCCCGAGCTGTAACTAGAATTTGAACTTGGGGTGTCTGGCTCTGCCGCGCAGGCTCTTCCCACTCACTGCACCATGAACCCTGTTGTTGTTATTATACTTATGTCACGTTAACAACATGAAACTATAAAATGCCTCACTAAATCCTCTCAGCTCCATGAAAGGCCACTTTCAGTTTGGTCTCACAGATGAGGCTCAGAGAAACACAGCCAAGGCTCCGCACAGAGAGGTACCTGAGGGGGGATCTGAACAAGCCATGGCTCCCAACACTAATTCCAGGGTCTTCCACTCTGCGGAGGCTTCTCCACGTTTTCACCACACAGGAGCCTTTAAGAAAGATTTTCTTAAAGCTCCCCTTGGTTTTAATTTGCTTGGGAAGTTTATGGTACTAAAACCTATTAATTGCGTAATAACAATACTTTCTGCCCCTTTTTAAGGTAGAAAAATGTACATGTGTACATGAGAATGTGTGACCATTGGGCAGGAACACTTAATTTTTGCCAAGGTGATACAAATGTTTTGGGTGTAATCTCCACTTAACTCTTTAAAAGGGACAGAAACAGGTTTTAGTGTTTTTTTGTTGTTGTTGTTGAAAGTTTATCATTGATCATTTCATGGACTTCCTAGTGTCCAGGGACCTCAAGCTGGGAACCAGTGTCTCAGTCCGTATCTGATTATAACTGAATCCCTGAAGATCCATGGGTCTCACAACAGGACAATGAATTAATTTTAGTGCTTTCTCATACAACCGTGCCCTTGCTGGAGATGACCAGAGCCACAGGGAGAACTTGGACATGGCTGTCCATTGCAGGCCCCTTGGTTTTAGGCGTGTCCTGCTTACTATCCCTAAGTCCAGGACTGTGTCTAGCACTTGTTAAGCTTCAAAGATATCATGAGTCACGTGGATTAGTAGATGAATGAATGTACACTGATGGGGAAAATGATGTTCAACAAGGGCAGTGGCACTTCTAAAGCCACACAGTGGACATTAACTGTATTTCCATTGGCCTTTGGTTAGATTCTTTCCTCGTTTCTCCTGGTGGCTCCTTCAGCTCTTACACCACCAAGAAACTCAGAAACAACTTTGGTTTCCTGTCAGCTCCTTTCAGCTTCCTTGCATCTCAGTGAACTCTCAGACGAAGAGCGAGCATGCTCTTATTTAGAAAAAGATCTAGTGTTGTATACTTAGACCTGGACTTCCCAGGATTCTGTTGTATTAGTTGTCCTGTCTCTTAATTCATTAGTTTCTTCATTTTGATGTGTCCTTCTCATCAGCCTGTGAACATGCTCACATGTTTTTTATCCTTAAAGAATTATACCTAATTTCCTGATTTCCTTTTACCGATAATACCCTTGTTAGCCAAATTTTTGCAGTCTGTAGCAAATTTCTTACTTTACTGTATGGTTATACTCAACCTGTTGCAGTTTGCCTTTTGACTCTTTTGCTCCGTTGAAGATTTCCTTTTTGCTAAATTTGATGGAAAATTCTTGGTCCTTCTCTTTGTCCCATAGAGGCATTTGATCCTATTGGCCATTCATAGGCTTTGAAGCTCTATTCCTTTGACTTCGTGATACAGCATCTCCTGTTCTTTTACTTCTTTTTACTGACTCCTCTCCTCAGCTCATCACACAAATGCCGGAGTCCCTCACAGGTCTGGCCTCTGCCTTCTTCCTGTCTCAATCTGTAATTCCTTTTTTTTTTTTTTAAATCCACTTTTAAAATCAAGCCTATGACTCAGACCCAGAACTCTCAAACGGTGTTCTGCTAAAGTTTCTTTACCAGAGTCTTCTGGGCTCTTGTTTTGAGAGTATAAATATCTATAAATGATCACTTTCAAAAAATACAAGGCTTATAGAATGTTTTAACTTAACAATCTTCAGGTACTTCTTAGAAATCCCCAGGTGACTTTGGTCTGTCCGAAGTAAGTTGAACTTGTCATGTCTAACATCAAACACATAATTCTTGCCCCATCCCTGTCAAAGAAGATCTTTCTATATCCTTTATTTTCATCAATGAGTCAGCACCTGCCCTGTCTTTCTGGTTTTTATATCTGCAAGTCATCTTTGCTTTTTATGGCATTCATTTTTTGACGGTATACAAAGTGTTAAGCACATTCATAATAGTTACTTCATAGTTATTCCATGGTAACGAGATGGTCAGTTAATTTTATTTGGTGGAGGTGTATTTGGCTTCTGGAACTTTAGATTTCAATAAAAAAACAACCACCTTATATTCAGATTTATCACTTAACAACATGGAAACAAACCCAACTAAATATAATAGGGGATGATACTTTGCAAATCTTAAACTCTGCTTAGTTTCTCTCTTTTAAAACCATTTTTGCCTGACAGTTGGAGATTCCAAGGCTGAACCCTGAGGCTTATAGCCCAGGAAAGGAGATAGCAGAATAGGAAGGCCTTTGATCACCTGCGAGGCTCAAAGCAGTGGGGACACGACAGGTTGTTGTGCAGAGAGAGTGAAGGCTCCCAGACTGAGAAATTGTGTAGGGGAAGAAGGCCAGGAGATGCCAGTTCTGAGTAACTTTTTCAGGCCACATTCCCGAATGGAGCCAGCATGGTGCATAGGTTGAGATCCAAGATAGGTGTCTGTCCTTGCCGTCTGAAATGCCACAAGAACAGCTTTCAGAGTTTCCCAGCGTGGAGAGGCCCGATCAGAATAAAAGTGTGTGTATTGTGTGGTTGGCACAGACGGAGGCCCTGAATTTGGCTTCCTCGGTTTCTTTGGAAGGCATGCGCCACAAACGTTTTCAAAGTCCCCCTCTGACCCGAGGACGGGGAGGGAGGGTGGCTGGCAGGCTTGCTCCTTCAAGGACAACGTGGGCCTCGGACTGAGGGCAGGGATAGGGTGGCGCTCACAGTCAGACTTCAGGAGCCCGGTGGTACTAGGGGCCAGGGTGTGGGCCCAGGCAGCAGCGAGCAGTACCCTGCAAGTGCGTGGAGAGGAAGAGAGCCTGCACTCCCCCGCCAAAGCTCCCGGTGCAGGTGTCAGCACGGTAGTGGCCAGGAAGCTGAGGC